TGAGACATCCTTTTAGAAACTTTCTCTCACTAGAATCTGATGACTTTCTCAGCCTGCTGTGTAAGCTGACTTTCTGGGGCTTTCCTTTACCAGAATCCATCTGTTGTTATGTCTGTTAATTACCAATAGCTCATTCTTACTACCTAAATGTTCTCTTTCATTTTATAGCATCCCAATCTTAGTTCATGGGTGTGATAACGATTACTGTTTCTAAACAAATTATAGACTTTCAAGAGTCTTCTGATCTTGGCCTTTTCTGAGTTCTTTTTTTCTTCCAATCTGTTCTCTGACCCTCATGTTGAAGACTTCCCTTCAGCATCTTCTCATCCTGAGTGTCTGTTCCTGTTTGGAGACAGGAAGTTCTGTGAGAGAATGGACCTGTCGAAGGTGGGCTTCAGTCTCAGTTGAAGAAAATGTGGCAAGGTGGCTTTCTCTTGGGTGACTCTCAGATGTCATAATATATAGGTCTCTCTCTTGACCCATCAGTGTCAAACCTGGTATAAGCCTGGCTGCCAATATTGTATGAGTTGAAAAGAAGCCTCAGTTTCCTGTAGGCTGGGCCAGCTATCATCTATGCACACAGCTGCTGCCCTTCCCTAGAGATCGACACTCTCTCCTCACTGCACACAGTGATAATTGGCCAGTGCAGGATTTTAGGGGTCAATGCACCTGCATATTCCTGCTGCTCCATAATCTGCATAATAACCTTGTTGATTGTTCCAAGACACCTACCTTCTCCAGGGTCTCCTGCCTTAAGGCATAGGGCCCAGGTAACTTTTAGAGCAATGCTTGGCAAATTAGTTTACATTCTGCTTTTTTCATGTAAGCATTCTGTTTTCAGAAATATTCCAGATGTGGGAATTCACTGAAGGTTTGCTTTCTTTTTCTATTTTTTTAGAATAAATATAGATGTTTAAAAATATCTTTTCTCTCATTTCTAGAGATTTGCTGTAGGAGAGGAGAGCTGGACTTTTAATCTTCCCTGATCCTATTCAGTTTGCCTCTTGACTGGCAACCTCAAGCTGAACGTTTTGTGAATTTCAGTTCCCTCTAATTTTCTGTTTTTATCCATTTTCGTGTCATTGGCTTCCCTGGTGGCTTCAGACAGTAAAAAAAAAAAAAAAAAATCTACCTGCAATGCTGGAAACCCAGGTTTGATCCCTGGGTCAGGAGGTTCCCCTCAAGAAAGGAATGGCTATCCAATTCAGTATTCTTGCCTGGAGATTCCATAGACAGAGGAGACTGGTGTTCTATGGTTCTTCGGGTGGCAAAGAGTTGGACATGACTGAGCAACTTTCTTTCCTAATGTTTCACACTTTCTTTCATACTTTCTTAACATTCTATTTTTCATGTTGGCTGAAAATATTTTTTGGAGCCATTCCCTTTTTTATTTAGGTTATCTTATTTTTCATGGCAAAGAAATTTCACATCTCAACATAATTTTGTCAGTATTTTTCTTTGGAAAAAGTACTTTGTAAATGATAAGAGTTTGGTTGTTTTCTTTAGTTTTTCTTGTATTCTTTAATGTAGACTTTAAATATTTATCCTATCTTACTTTTTTTTTGAAAGTTTCTTGTCAAGTCAAATATGTTTCCCCTCAAATTTCTAAACTGTTAACTATTTATCTTGACATAATAAGGAGAAAGAAATGGTAATCCACTCCAGTGTTGTGGCCTGGAGAATCCCATGGACAGAAGAGCCTGGGCAAGCCCTAGTCCTTGGGATTGCAAGGAGTCAAACCTGACTGAGTTACTAACACTTTATCTTGACATTGTCTATTAACTAATTTAAAAAATTTCATCAACTTTCTACTACCACATATTAAATTCATTTGTTACACGTGCTGTATTTCTGTGCTTTGTGTTGTATTTTCTACTACGTGTCCATATTCATGATATATTAATCATTTCAATGCTTAATGATTTATTGACTGGTCAGTTTCATTTTTCTCATTTTTCAGTTGTTATTTAATAGTTTTCCACTCATACAGTATACAGAAACTCTGAGCTATCCTGAAGAATGAGGTAGATAAAAATAATAAAATCCATAGTATTTTTTTTTAACCACGCCAATAAAATTGTGAGTATAGTACATTCAAGATGTGTGTTTGTTTTCAAGGTTAAAACTCAAGGAAGGAAGACTACCTTCTTCGAGAATAATCAGTCAGCTTTAAGACAGGGAACACAAAATCAATTGCCCTGATTTTATTGGAGCTGTCTGTTATTCTCTTTAGTATGTAGTTCACTACAAAAATAGGGATAAATTCCAACTGCCAACAGAACCCTATGGAATACAAACCATTCCATACAGCAATGAGGAGGGAATGCAAGCAAGAAAGGGAATGAGTAGGAGTGTACTGACAGCTCTAGAATGTTGATGATGAAGTGAGGGGACTAGAGGGTAGCTCTGGGAACAGCCTGGGCATGCAATGAATTTTCTTGTATTAAGTTTGAACCATGTTTAGTAGATAACAGGGAATGATTCAATAGAGATGGAGAGTTTGACTATTTTCACACCCCCAAACTAGGGGGTGTGAAACAGCCTGTTTCACAGTTTCTAAGAGAAACTTCTTCCTCTTAGAAATGCAACAAGGACAAAATTAGAAGATGTAAAGAAAGAGATGCCAGTAGATAGGTACAGAGAGTTAGATAGCTTACGTTGATGGTATTGATCTTCTGAATAACTGTAGCCCCTGACACCTGCATCAGAATCAGCAGGGTGGGCTGGATAAAAATTCACCTCCCTGTATGACTGTCATCAAAGTCTAGGAATCTGTGATACAAGTTATTCTAACTAAAGTTGGAGATCCAAAGTTCAAATTAAGTGGGAGGTAATCTGCAGGATATGTATACATGATCGGGAAAGCATTGGTGAGCAGGAGATATGGGTGGGCAATGGAGGGAAAAAAAGAATTATTAGGCAGAGCCTATTGAAGTTGGAAATAGGCATTTGTGTTGAAGAGGCTGGCCCAGCTCCACAATAGGGATCAGTGTGCTTCCATGGCTTATAGTGTAAAGTAATCACACCTAAAAACCCTGTTATCACTTCTCTATTTGTCAGGGCCCAGGAAAGGTTGCTAAGGCAGGCTGCTGAACCAAGGACATGAAGAAAACTTGAGCAATTTCCCTTCCTATAGGATTGAGAGACCTGCCTTTCTTGGCAAGCAGAGTTCATAACACTGATTGCAACATAAAATCCTGTGAATTTGTGTATTCAGAATTTCAATTTCACATATTTCTGACGAGCCCTGCCAACCTGTCAGACCAGACTTTCCTCTGCTAATATGGCTCAGTTCCATTCTCAGATGCTGCTACTTTTTTTTTCTCTTATAATTTCATATATTTATTATACTTGACACCTTTCCTGCATATATATATGTCTTGACTTATATGTATACTTATATGTATACACGTGCACTACCTCATTCTCTCTGGTAGCTATGTAGTATTCCCTAATTTGTTTTTTTATTAATTAATTTATTTTCATTGGAGGCTAATTACTATACAATATTGTGGTGGTTTTTGCTGTACGCTAACATGAATCAGCCACGGGTGTACCTGAGTCCACCCATCCTGAACCTCCGTCCCACCTCCCTCTCCACCCCATCAGATGCTGCTTCTTTACCTGCATGTAACCTGAGACAAATGACTTCCATGTGGAAGAACAAGAAGTTGCAAGGCCCTTCTCTCACTCGTCTTTTTTCACTTGATCTACATCAATAATCTCTTAACTGGTCTCCAGGCCATCAGCTTCTTCCTTCCCCAGATCACTGGAGTCACCTTTCTTGACAAAGACTGAGAGCTAAACAAATGATGGAATATTTGTAAATCCAGGTAGTAAAGTGCTGTGCGTACTCACTTCTGTGAAGGTTCCCCATCATCAGAGTGCGGTTCAAACAGATGAGAAACACACTGCAACACACCTCGTCTTCCACCACTGCCTCCACTAGTCATCCCTGCCTCGCTCATTGCAGAGACACAGAATCTTTATCACAGGATATTTATGATCATTTCAGGACTCTCTGCACCCTTGCAGTTGGTATCTTTTATAGTTTCGTGATTATTCTTCTTTTGTTCCCCTAAGGAAATGTATTTAAGTGCCATCCCCTCAATGTAGCTCTTTTTGGAACCCACTCTCCCAAGGCAGAATTATTTTTTCATCTGTATTCCATAGTAATTTATACAACTGCCAACTGTTGTACTTAGAACATTAATGTTATTATATTATGTGCCTAATATATAATGTTAATATAATGTTATTATATTATATTAATGTGCTCAGTTATATTTTTGTTTCTACAACTGGACTTGAATTTCTTGAGATCAAAAATTTTACTTCCCCAATGCCTAACACATAGGATGTCCACTGTAAATTTTAACTGAATACATTTGAATCAGAAATCCTCCTATGTAATCCAAATTGAAAGAACATAGAAAAGTAGAGTTCTTTGGAGCTAGCAATATGAGCAGCTATCAGCAACCTTGTTTAATAGGAACAAGTCTTTCTTTTTCCATATATTATTATAGTTGTAGCATTCATTGATAAAGCTTTGTACCTGTAGAAACAGAACATTTCAGTGGGAAGAATATCTCTGAAATGGTTCTTTTGATTTGCAGATGAAGAAAAAAAGTCCTGTGTTTATGTCTGCCCCACAGGTAGCTTTTATCAAGTCTATTCAGCAACCAACAACCTTTGTGAATTCATGAGTATTAAATCATTTTTATATTCCAGGGAAGTAAATTCTAAAAGAGAATAGCATTTCAGGTCAAACAGAATCTCATTAAGAAATCTTAACCTGAGTATAAGATGTTGGGGTGGGGGAAAGCCAGGCTACTTGATGAGAGATAATTGGTAAGTTCAAGGTGGATTTTAAATCAAGAGAAGTGCTTTTTATGTTTTTTGCAGAGATGACATGCCTATCAGGGCATCCGAAGAACTGTAGAGTGGGTTTTGATGAGTTACTTTTCCCCAGGTTTAATTGAGCCTCTTCTCTTTGATAGGTTTCAGAACCTGCTGTGGTCCAGAAAGACGTTTGTGGACCACATGAAGGTCTATAACCACAGTTACATCTACATGCCTGCCTTTTCTATGAAGACGGGAACAGAGCCATCCCTCCGGGTTTATTACACACTGTCCGATGTTGGTGCCAATCAGACAGTGCTCTTTGCCAACCCCAACTTTCTGCGTAGCATTGGGAAGTTCTGGAAAAGTAGGGGAATTCACGCCAAGCGCCTGTCCACAGGACTCTTTCTGGTGAGCGCAGCCCTGGGCCTCTGTGAAGAGGTGGCCATCTATGGCTTCTGGCCCTTCTCTGTGAATATGCATGAACAGCCCATCAGCCACCACTACTATGATAATGTCCTGCCCTTTTCTGGCTTTCATGCCATGCCGGAGGAATTTCTTCAACTCTGGTATCTTCATAAAATTGGTGCACTGAGGATGCAGTTGGACCCATGTGAGGATGCCTCACTCCAGCCCACTTCCTAGGGACTGTGGAAAAAGAAAGGACTGAGCCAGGGTATTTTTGTTAGGTTTTCTATGTAACTTCAAAAGGAAATGATCAGGTCATTTCATGGATTTGCATGGACCACTTGGGAAAAAAAAATGACAACAGAAACCCAAGGGAAACTCTACTTTTACTGTTGGCTTGGAAGACAAAAAAAGAAGTGAACCACCCCATGAAATGTTTGGTGCATGGTGGATTTGCAACTAGTAACATGCTGATTAAATGATGTTGGTAAAGCACATTTACATGAGCAGGTCAAGTTCACAAACAAGACAAAACTCTAGTTATTGAAGTCGAGGAATTAAGGTAGATTAAATGAAATGCCAGAGTAGAAGTGTTAGTGGTTATCAACCTGAACTGACTTAGTTAAAAAAAAAAAAGCTATCTTAATCAGACTAACATTAGAACTATAGGTTTTTAAAAAAATTCTTACTTAATTTTGCCCTATTTAAGGGCATTGAGTAGGTGATGGGGTACATTTTTTAAAATCCCTTACTGAGTAATATGGATACAAAATGCTACAGCTGATAATTGTAATTTGTTGAACCAAGTCTTTGTTAACTAGAGTTCCCCTTCCTTCTATTTAAAAAATTGTTAAAGAAGAATTACTTCCTCCCCTTTTGTCAAGTCCACTTAGACAATGTGAAACATTGTTGAATTTAGATTGTGTTGGTTCATTGTCAGGAGGACGAGTCACTTTCCCTCCTCAGAATTTAGGGCATAAACTCAGTTTTAGGTCTGCATTATGCAAGCCTATTTGCATTATTATTGTGTGTGCTCAGTCGCTCAGTTGTGTCCTACTCTCTGCAACCCCATGGACCGTAGCCTGCCAGACTTCTCTGTCCATGGGATCTGGAGTGGGTTGTCATTTCCTATTTCACAGGATCTTCCTGACCCAGGGACCGAAACCCACATCCCTTGCTTATTATTTTAGTGCAAAAAACTACAAATGCAAGTGCATTATTTGTTTGCAAATTAGCATAATTGTCTTCATAATTTAATGTTCAGAGATGAAGTAAAGCACAATGACATCAAGCTTAGTCTCTGGAAGACAGACTGGAAGGTACTTCCTTTTCTTTCTGCCATGGTAAATAGGTTCTCTCCAAGATGAAGCATATGCATGCACACATAAAAGCATGCATAGACTCATGTAGACTCATACACACACTCAGACAGAGTTCATTCCTGTGCAGCTATGAAAGCAGAACCCATATGACCTGGGATAGCAGAAATCTGTAACTGGTGTTGGAGAGCTATGAATGCATTACGTACTACCTACCACACCTTGCTACGAGACAAACCAGCTTACTGGTTGCTGCTCTAATGCTCATACCAGCATGAGATGTGAGCCTTACCCCCAAATCACTCCAAATGAACAGAACTGTTTTAGTGTATGTGACTCCCCCCCACCAATATCTCATGAGTAAATCCTGTGTTGCATGTGGTCATCAACACACGGTTCACACCAGTAAAGGGATGTGAGTTAGTAGTTGTTGATTCCCTTAGTAACAGGTAGGACAGCTTAGAAGGCTCGTTACCTCAGCTTTGACACAGTGCACACAAACTCTGTTGACAGATTACAGGCAGCCAGATGTGTTTACATACAGAGAAAGGGAAAAACAACCTCAAGTGGTCTTTGTGTTTGGGGATGTCTTACTCTAAAAGGAGACAGTACATTTCACTAACTTGATTCTTTTAAGTGTCACCAGAATGTAGGTAAACTGTACCCAAAACTTCTGCTTCATTTTCCATGGAAAAGACTTAGTATACAATGTAGACTCAACCAGGTGGCAGTGTGGGGTGGGTTCATTTAAATAATATCGAGATAACAAAACTGTTGGAAAAATTCTACATCATTGGGATGTGGTGGCGCTCAGTCGCTCAGTCGTGTCTGACTCCTTGCAACCCCATAGACTGTTGGCCGCCAGGCTTCTCGGTCCATGGACTTTTCCAGAAAAGAATACTGAAGTGGGTTGCCATTTCCTACTCCAGGGGATCTTCCTGTCTAGGTGATTTCTAAATAAGATTGAATATTGAGGTTATTATAGAGATCAACAGTTAAAATATGACTGGTGACATAACACAGATTTTATTGATACTTAGAAAGTTAAGAATTTAAGAGTATTGATTCTGTGCAGACCCAATTTCCTCTTTTGATCCTATTTGGCAGCAAAAATGTAATGAGAATGTACTATGAGTGAGCTGCATTAAATATGCACATCTGTGCAATCCTGAATATATTTCCTCTTTTGAGCTATTATTATTATTTAATAACTACCTGAAAAGGAGTGCATTTTTACTATACATTTCATCAAAATATAAAAGGCCTAACAAAAATCACACATAAAAGTGAATAAAATAGATATCACTCAAATTAGTGCTTTAATTGTTGGCAGTGTTGAAATCAATAATTAATGAACTCCATCGAACTCATGTGTCTTGGCTCCATTGAAGATACCTTCTGGAAATTTTGCATTTTGTAATTCCTGGGCTAGGTTTGTGCAAGAGATTTGTACAGTGGTTAGTTGTACATTTGGCGCCTCTGAAAGGCAAGCAAATGGACAGAGAATAATTAGATCATGGCTTCTTAACTGGGGTGATTCTCCTCTCCTGTCTGGTGACATTTGCCAGTGTCTGCAGACTTTTTTGTGGGATCTTAGTTCCCCCACCAGAGATGGAACCCAGGCCCTTGGCAGTGAAAGCTCAGAGTCCTGACCACTGGATCACCAGGGAATTCTTAGGAGATATTTTTGATGGTCATGGTTTGAAGGGTGCTGCCAGCGTCTAATGGTTAGAGGCCAGGGGTCCTACTAAAGATCTACAATGCATAGAGCAGCCCCCCAACAAAGAATTACCCATGTGAAAATCCTAATAGTGCCAAGGTTGAGAAATCCCAGATTAGATCAAAATGATATTTTGATTATTCCTTATTGTCTTCACTTACATGTTCATGTCATTCAAAGTATGACTACAATTTAATGAGAATGTTTTCTCAGAGTAGAATACAGTTTGGCATTATTTTATAGTGATAGTTCACAAGTATGCCATACATATTTCCTTTCCTGTGGTTAGATAGATATATCTCAATCTAGGAGTTGTGAGTGTGTGTGCTTATGTGTGTGTACATGTGCTTATAGCATAAAGTTAGTATATCCATCCTTACTGGAATATATGTGTTCCTAAGTGAGGATCTTTCTAGAATTATCTTTCACAGTACTCTGGCATACTCTATTACTCTTAAGTTAAATTCTACGTTCCCATTATTTTATTTTTTTGAAATTGAGACCTTCAGAATTGGGCCTCATTATTTGCCAAATTTAGTTGATTACATTTTAATGTTACTGACCCTTAAGATTCAGCTCAGAAGAGATTTGGGTTGCAGTAGACACATTTCATAAGAAAGTATTTCATCACTTTTGATGCACCTGCAAGGAGAAGGCATCATCCTCTAACATATTAGTCTAATTTTTAAGTTATATTTTAGTGGCAAAAATTAGGTTGCTCCATGGGGATAAATGAGGGAATGAAGAGACTGAAAATGAGTACCTGATGTGAATTTTTATTTTTATTAGCTTCAATTGGAGAACTGCACTGATGTTATGGATCATGAGTAAGAAAGACTTCTGTTTGATTTTAATTATACTTTGGTCAAATTAAGATGCCTGAAGGATTAAGTCTTTCATAAGAAAGTAATTTTTTATATGAAAGATTTTTTTATGGAAGAAGACCCTGGACACATGCTTTCTATAGTATTTGACCAACCATTTATACAGCATTGTGCATCTAAATTGAAAGTAACATAAGAAGTTAAGGAGTGCTTCTTGGATTTTGTTTCTGTATAGTTCACTTTTACCTATTTTAACAAGGGCAAATGATTAAAAATGATCCGGAGATCCAGAGTGACAGATGTTCAGACAGTACTCTGTGTTTGGCTTTGTGATGTTTTATGCCCTTTTCTGGACTAAAAACCTTGTTTAGGTTAAATATAACTTGTACCTGAAGCAATGGGCAACCTGGCTTAAAAATCTATATGGAAAATAACTGGGGAAATCCTAGGATTCTGAATTTGCCAAAAGTAGTCTAAGATTAGCCCAAAGCTTTACAGGAGTGTTAGTGATAATTTCAAATAGAAATAATAACCCATGACATTGTCAGCAACTCAGGTTTGTCATTTTATTATATACCACCTCCTGTTTCTCAGTTTGGAAAATCAGTCACCTAGGGTTTTAATTTCTATATTTAAAAATACTGATTGTATGAAAATTTTAACTGATAAACCCTGTTAGGAGGGACCTAAAGAGGAAAAAATTAAGTCACAGTCCACTGAAAACTTCAGGAAATGCTTATTGGGTTGTATAAAAACTTTCCCACCAAAATCAGGTAATATATACTCTCGTCAGTAGAGTTTCAAAGATCAAACTCTAAGAGGACTTTTATGGGAGCTTTAGGAAGAGCATGTGGAGGAATAAGGCTTGAGAACGATACTGTGCTTTTTATTTCTTCGTTTTCCCAATGTAGCGGTCTCCTCTGAGATGATCTGATTTTGGTGGGCACACATCAGGGGTGGACATGGGCAGACAATATGGAGGCACCTGAAACGTTGGTCAAGCCTCTTACAAAATGAACTCTGTGTGTGTGTGTGTGTGTGTGTTAGTCACTCAGTTGTGTCTGATTCTTTGTGACCCCATGGATTATAGGCCACCAGGCTCCTCTGTCCATGGGATTCTCCAGGCAAGAATACTAGAGTGGGTTGCCATGCCCTTCTCCAGGGGATCTTCCCGACACAGGGATTGAACTCAGGTCTCCTGCATGGCAGGCAGATTCTTTACCCTTTGAGCCACCAGGGAAGCCCCAAATGAACAATAACTACAACTAAATATGACTGGCAGTTTAGGCAACTTCAGTGAACAGCATGATGGGGTGAAGAAGAGGCAAATGGAAAGGAAGAAAAACCCAGTCCCCAAGCTTTCCACGTACAAAGGGTCAGAGAAGTCTCTGCTCTTGGCCTTGGCCTTCCAGCACTCTCTATCTCTGTCTACTACCATGGAAGGTCTCCCAGCTCTGAGGTCAAGCTAGTAGTCTTGTGACTAGAGAGTTAGTGTGCAAATTTGCTAGGAAGCTTAAAATTTTACACTGCCTTAAACATTTTTTTTTTAATTTATACTTGTGCTCTCTAAATTTGGATGTCCCATGACAGAATCCTGGTCATCTTGAACCTAATTATGGACCTGCCAGCGTTTATTAAAAATGAAACTCCCCCCACCCCCCGACTCTGATGCATTTTTACTGAGTTCTCAAAGCTGGGAAAATATGAAATATTCTACTAGTTCTCCAGTAGCCTGGAAAAATCTCTGGAGACACATGCAAAGGCCTAGACTGCCTGTGTATAAATTCCTAAATAAGAAGCCACTGTATTTAGGTTGAACACCATAAAATTTCTATTTTGTAAGTGAAAGGAAATTTATGTGAATCTCCAATTGTGTTGGCCATTTTTTTTTTCCTATCATAAGAAAATGTATACTACTGACTTTACTCCCAGCCTAGGCCTATCTGAATTTTTTACCTGAAATAAATACATGAGTGGAAAACTCATTCAAACATAACACAGAAATTCTGTTTGTCATTGCAATAAGAAAAAAATATGTGCTTCCATTTCCTTCTGATTTTCTGGTGCCAGCATTTCTGATTTCTTCTGCTCTAATAGTTAAGGAGTAAATAACATTATAAATTGACTTATAATACTTGAGATCACTTGTACGATAGCCAAAGCCCATAACTATAAATTCTAAAGCACAAAAGAGGAATTATATTTTGGCTATGGTCACTCATTTACCTACCTCCTGT